TTCAACAAAAAAAAAAAGAAAAAAGTTACATACTTCCGTATCTGCTGGCAATTCGGCTCTTTTGGGACCAGGCAATTCTTCATCAGAGACTTCTTCTGCCTCAGGAACTTTAACAACAGGTACTCCTGGCAATTCATCTTCTGATATATTTTCTGCATCTGGATCTCCATTCTAAAAAAATATGTAGAAAGTAAAGTAAACAAGCATTGTATCAATAATGAATAAACAAACCTGTTTGCCATCCTTTTCCTTTTTATCTTTAATGGTGTCCTCATTTTCTTCTTCCGTGTCTAAAATGCTTTCTTCCTGATCTTTTGATTTATCTTCCAAAGCATCAAATATTTCCTTGACTTCCATAGCATCTGTATCTTTATCTTCCGTTTTTTGAGAAATTTTACTCTGCTCCTCAGATTTTTTATCACACTGTTCTTTATTTTGTCCTTGAGCCGCAGTTTCCTCTACTTCATCGCTATGTTTCTCAGAATCATAAAAATCTTCATCCAGTAATGTTATTTTGTCATCGCTTTCCATTGCCTCATCCGAGGTTTTGCTCTGTTCTACATCAGATACTTTAATTTGCACTTTTTCAGATTCCACTTTTTCAGTTTCTGTACTTATTGACTCCAAATTAAGTTTTGTTGAATCATCTGCATCATCTTCATTAGAAGAGTCTGTTTTGTCTTTAACTACATCATTCTGTTCCTCAACCAATGGATTACTTTTTTCTTCATCTATTTCCATTACTGTGTCTTCTGAAATGTCTATCTTTTCTTTTTCGGATGTTTCATTATCTACTTCTGGTGTTTCCAGCATGTCAACATCATTTAAAATCTACATAAGTAAAAAATATGTATATTAGTACATATTATTAGATACACATGACAAGAGGGTCAGTCTGACTATTCACACTGCGCAGAATTTTAAGGAATATTGGGCCATTTGCGACCAGGGAGCGACAAAATCAATCAGATCTAAAAACATATGCTTCAAAGAGGTAATCTGATAAACTGATATAATAAATGTAATAATATATAATAATTATGATAAATATGTATCTTGTCAAATCTCAAGGTTCAGAACATCAAAATTTGTGGGTAAATGTAAGCCTCATTAGATTTAATATGTAATGGATCTAATGTGTGTTATTAGAAGCAAGTCCAATATATATAGTTAGCTTTAATTTTCTCATGTTCAGAGTTAGAGTTAACTACTTAACAGATTTCCCAAAAATTTATTTGGTTTGGGTTTAGACATCTCTCTAACCTCAATAATGGCAAATCATACTCTCAAGTACCTTAACCGTTAAGCCTACATATATCTCACAAAAATTACATGCATTAAAAAGTAATAAAAATAGATTTATCTAACTTGTAAATTATACCCTTGGATATATCATTCCTAAATTAATAGTTAGTGTTCAGCCACGCTTAAAAGTTATAAAAAGTTAAACTAATAGACCAGTATGACAAAATATACTTAAGGAGGTATATCGGGTTTACTCAAATGCACAGATGTACTTGAAACTTATATAGCGTATTAGCCAGTGCTCCCTATGTGCGTCATATTTTTTTGAAATTTTTTTTGAATCTAGATTTTGAGATATTGTTGTTGAAAGTTGTTCATTTTAACATAGGTTTATATGGCGAAGATGGACGGTGCGGCTCTTTTTTTGCCCATAACTGAGAAAAAAATGTAGAAATTGTGAAACAAAACTTTTCCATAGATAGTACACAGTATTATCTTATTTTTGATGTAAAACTAATGTAAGTTTTGAACATAGTACAGCTGTATTAATTAGAAACAGAAACCAATAATTGCATTTCTGTCTGACTTGAGGATTAATGTGGCAACGTCGCAATCAGCTGACAGCAAGGAGGGAATACATTTGAAAGACTTGATAAAAACGAAATTGATTTCAAACATATACATTTTTCCTAAATCCCATGTACATTGTTATCAACAATAAATTATCCACAACAGATGATTTTTTGTAATGTTTTTAAAAAACTAGATTAATTAAAAAAGACTAGGAAGCTGTGATATATTTATTGGAATAAAAAATACAGTTGATAAATCCTTTTAATATATTTAATGGTTTATAAAAACATCGTAATCATTACCCAGCAATATTTAGGGTTACATAAAGTTTTCTTTACTTGATTAATATAATTAGTAATACTTGAGATAAAAGCATTTGTACGGAATAACAAAGGAACATAAATATTTCTCAGCAAACTTTATATCTAAAAAATTAGTTATAGTTGCAAAACTTTTGTAACATTACTAAAATAGAGATTAAAAACACGAACAGTGAGTAATAATGTAATTTCTATCACAGAACCTTCAAAATTGCATCCAACATTTTCTTTGACTTGGACGAGAGATGGGCGCGAGTGTCATTTCATTTCTTTAGAACTAAATTAACATAATTCTCGTTGTTTTACCAGTTCACATGATTTACGGATTTTAAATAAAGGATACAAATCTTCGCGAGGATAATACGATATATTTGCTATATATAATAATTATATTGTACATAGTTTACACACAATACATTTTTGAACGCGTACGCATCTTTACCCGAATTTGACGCGCAATATCTCCGATGTCCGAGGTCTGTAGGTTCGCAGTGTGTACAACTGCTAGTCAATTATTAGCGCTGTTGCCACATCTACATAGTCTTTATGCGTTCATTAAATATAATTTAATACTACCTAAAAATGATACTTTTATGTTGTTAATTAGTCAATATGTATGCTATGTGCATATGAGTAGATTTCTTTGCTATATAGATAATGTTTATCGCAAATAATTTCAATAGAATTTAATTTTTTCAAATTGGCAACGGGTTTTAGTCCCATAAGAAAAGCATAGGACCCTCACTGCGCTCTTCACTTCCCTCGGACCCCGATATACCAAATCGGATCAAGGCAGGTCGACTTCATTTCTAGCAAAAATTTCAAACCTTAGTTAACCGTGTTAGTAGTTTTCATACATATAATACTTAATATCATAATTAAAAATATCATTAACAGAAAATCATTTATGATAGTTTTGGTACATTACATTATCTAATTTCTGTTTACATTGCACTTCTGACAATCAAAGGTTTAGTACATCGTATTTAACGCTCTACTATTAAGAACACTTGGAAAAAATGATAGATTGAAAGTAGAAAATTGAACAGCAGTAAGAAATTTAAGAATAGATATTAATATTCAAAAAATTATATAAAAGTATACTCACAAAAGTTATATTATCATCATTCTCTTTAATAATTTCACCATTGTTTTTGCCACCATTTAATTCTGAATTTTTTTCACTTTCTTGCTCGGTCTCCTTAGAAGAGCTGTTCACGTTACTTTTATTTTCCAGTGACTCCTCACTTTCCTCAGGGGTTTCCAATAGTTTTTCCTCCAATTCTTTTTCATCTTTGTCTTCAGCACACTCCTCCTTACTTTCAGACTCAGTTTTTTCATCTCTTACAGTCTCTTCTTCATCGTCTGATACTTCAACTTCCATAAGGACAACCTTCTTTCGTGTTCTCCGTGTAGCAGGTTTTGAAGCTGCTTTACTTGGTGGAGTTGATACAACTTTTCCAGAACGTGTCCTTCTTACTAATAACAATGAAAAAATAATATAAAAATAATTAAAAGAAATTAAAAAATTTAGGTACCATTAGTAACAGCTTCTTTGTCATCCATTGTAACGTATTCCACCTAATAAAAACTTAAAATAGTGGAGAACTTTTTATCTTTTTAATTAATGAAAATACTGGTACATCAAATAAACCACTGTATTAATTGCAACAACACTAAATGTTAAAAAGACACAACTACAGCAAAACCTCCTTCTTACACTATAAGATGGCCGACTAAAAACATTTTTTTAGCGTTACGCTGGGCTGGAGTGCGTTCAAGGATCAAGCCATGTTCGAGCAGTAATTAACCAAAAGTTAACTTAGCTGATTTCAGATACAGAGTCTGAAACTCTTAGATCATGAAATTTAAACATACCTTCTGCACTAACCAAGGAGACATTTAACTCTTCGCTTGCACTGCCTTATTACTGTTTCAAAAAGCAACCAAGCATATTGATTATTATATCTTATCTATGATTTGATTCTGAGCCTAGTTCTGCACATTTAATATGTGAATCGTATTTAATTTTTTTTTCTAAATTACATTTCTGTGCGTCTACGCATGTTCAATTATGTCACATTATAGAAAACAGTAAAATCACTGCCTATCTAACCTGTTTATGTGTTTATAAAAATGGACCCTAGTATTTTTTATGTAGCTTTAAGTGACTGCGCAGAGACCACGCGCAAGTAGGGGAACAAACCGGCAAGCTAAGCTGAGCTTGTTGGTGGACTGGGGCTGGGCTTACTATTGCGCATAGACCACGCGTCCCTTTACTGGACTCTTAGAGCAGTGGGATTGTGGTCCACAAAAGACCTACACCGGCAATGCTTGTGGTCGGGGTAGACGATGTTTGTTTAAATTACTATGAAATTGACCAATGTGGGATTAATTCAAGAACGATTTACTCAGAAACCGTTAAAGATAACGATTTGAAACAAGAGTACTTTTTTAACGTAAAACAGTTCGGGAAAACGGAATTTGCTGTCCAATTTGTTAAAAAGTCAAAGATGAAAAAGTTACACACGCAAAGTACCAAGGGCCCCCCCGTACCCACCCCAATGGACCTTGTGGAAATAAATGGATTAGTCCATCAAATTGCTCATCAAAATTTAGCTGTGTATACCAAATTTCATTCATTTATCACAACGCGATTGAGAGATATTGCAAAAAAA